GGAAAGGACCCCCCGTCCTTGTTTTTTCCTTTCCGAACCGTCGCGCTCGATCCCTCGCAGGACAGCCGTGAGCGCCGGCACCGCGAAGCCCGACCTTGGCCCGCCGGAGAAATCGCTCGGGCCCGCGGCCTTTTTTTCTTTTTTTCTTTTTTTGGGAGTGGCGCTTAGGTAGGAGTGCCGAGCGGGCACTTAGGAGTGCCGAGCGGGCACAGTGCCGAGGGGGCACAAACGTGCCGAGCGGGCGCTCTAGGGGGTAGGCGGGCACTTTAGGAGTGCCGAGCGGGCACAGTGCCGAGCGGGCACAGCGCCGAGCGGGCGCAGTGCCGAGCGGGCACTTTTAGGGTAGGGTGTGCCGAGCGGGCACGGTGCTGAGCGGGCACGTAGGGATAGTACGGGTTCGCCCAACGACCCTTAGTACTGGTTCGCCCAACGACCCTCTTAGTACTGGTTCGCCCAACGACCCTTAGTACTGGTTCGCCCAACAACCCTTAGTACTGGTTCGCCCAACCTCGTTTGATACAGGTTCGCCCAACGACTCTTAGTCCGGGTTCGCCCACGACTCTTAGTACGGGTTCGCCCAACCTCGTTTGATACTAGCTCGCCCAACGTCTCAGTTTTCAACATGTGTGCGTGGCGTGGGGGGGCACAATGCACTGAACCTCCACAGTTTTCCCGGGCTCCTTGCTATATGTCCTGTATGTGCTTTATGGCTCTCGCGCGCCAACCCATTGAACCTTCACACTCCTGCTATATGTCCTTCATGTGCTCTATGGCTCTTACACGCCAAGCCGCTGAACCCCCACGACCTCGGGGAGTGTGGGATGAGAGCTACCCCGTTTGGGTTTGATACTGGTCCGCCCAATGGGTCTGGAGGGGTTTCGGATTTTTTTCAAGTACTGGTCTGCCCAACGGGCGGGTACTGGTTCGCCCAACGTCTCAATTTTCGACAGGCTGCCTTGAGAGAGGAGGTTCCAGATCACCGCCAAGGTGCGTGCAACAAGCCAGCGTGTAGCTGATTTGCTCAATAAAAGAGACAGCCTTCACGTGAGGTCGCGACAAGTGGAGGACAGCGGCAAGGGCAAAACTGCCTGGCCGCCGTGGTAGCCCGCGAGATGGGCCTGGACGAGTTCGTCATGGTGTCCAGCCCGGACATGCTGCGATCCACGAGACGACTGCTCCTGGACGAGCTTCAGATCAGCGGCAGCAGCATCGGCGCCCAGGGCGGGGGAGTCGACGCTCTGCATCTGCTCGGCCTGTCACCCGATCTGGCAGCGACCATCAAATGTCGCTACCGCGACGTGAAAGTGCCAGCGGAGAATTTCAGGATCATCACGGTCCAGGACCTTGCGAAACTGCACCACCCCTTGGACGACATGGCGAAGGTTCAACCTCCGGACCTCATGCTGGACGGTGGGATGACGTGGACCCCTTGCCCACTTGACAAGATCTTCGACGCGGACACGCGCGCGGTGCTGAAGCGCTGCATCCTCGTGGAAGTGACGGCGCAGTGCGTGAAGGACGAGGTTCGCGGCAAACGAAAGATCAGATCCGAGAATGCGGTTTCCCTAGAGTTTGAAGACAATGTACAGCGGCCAGTAATTCTCGGACTGCGAGCGGCAGGTGCAGCAGCGGAGGCGGCCTGCCCTTTCCAGTACCAAATACCATGCAGAAGCCGATTGAACGCACAGAAAAAACGCTTTGGCGTGAGCCCAGTTTCATTGCTTTGCACGTTTTGCATCGTTTCCTCAACCCATCAGAGCCGTGCAAGGTCTGCCGAAGATGGACCTTGTTGGAGCCGGCGGAGTGTTGAGGCTTCGATGCCATATAGCACATATAGTACATATAGCTGGTTCGCCCAGCCCGTTTGGGTTTTGCCCAACCCGTTGGTTTTCTGAGGAGCAGCCTCCGGGAATTTTCCCCCATGCGCAATGCCTCAAAACGTTTTTTCCTTTTCGCTGATCAGGATCAGTCAATTCCGACGGAGCCTGATCAAACTGTTTTTGCGCCAAAAAGGAGCTGAGCAGGATCAGTCAATTCCGACAGAGCCTGCTCAAATTGTTTTTGCGCCAAAAAGGGTTTGAGCAAGGTATTCTGCAAGCAGGAAGGCCCGCGCAATGCCTCGAAACCATTTTCAAAAGGCTAGTCGAGGGTCCTGGGCCTCGGAGGCGCCAGGAAGTCGTCCAGCTGCCTCGCAGCTGCCGGCCTGCCCCGTCTCGTCAGTCGGCCCGCCGCGTTGCCGCTGCCGGCAGCGCCAGCTAGCAGGGTCTCCCGGCCCTCCGTGCTGCGGACTGTCATGGAGTCCACGGCCCGCAGCTGCTGCGCGTCGCCGTGAAGCTCCTCGCCGCGTTCGTCGGCGGACGCCGCGCTGTTGTTGGAAATCTGCAGCTTGCTCCAGCCCGCCCAGTTTGTCGTCAGAAAGAGATCGTCCGAGAAGTCGGAGGTGTTGGTCACGGTGAGCGTGTTGGGCGCGAAGAGCTGCGGCGCGGAGACCGTGCCCGAGCTCGTCACGTCGCCGCACACCACGCTGCCCGTCGACAGTCCGCCGCTCGTGGCCGTGAAGGTGCAGTCCAGGCTCTCGCAGTCCAGCGGGCCCGCGGACGCCGCCCCGCCGATCGTCAGCGTGGCGCCCGTGACCGCCCCGGCGGCTGCGAAGCTCGCGGCCTTGCTGCGCCGGAGGCCGTCAGGGTGCTATTTAAAGAGTAGATTTAGCACCACTTCAAACGCAATACATAAATAAATAAATAAATATATAAATATTTTTATATATAGAAATGTCTGAAGTTGAGAATGATGCTATTGCTGAACTATCAAAGAAGATAATGACAGTTAGTAAAAATGTTAAACTGTTGTACGAGATGATAAAAACTATTGACCAGAAACTTGATGCAAAGGCAAACGAACCAAAAAATAACAATGAAGAGAAGGAAAAGATTGACAAAATCTTTGAAAAGAAAGGGATAGGCAGACCCAGCGGTGATTATGACACGAAGCGTAAAAAATATTGTGATATGTTAAATAAGGGACAAATCAAAAGTCCAAAAGAACAAACATTAGAATATTATAAACTAATTAAGGGTGATGATGGTAAATATGTAATTGTTGAAAATTAAAATATAAATAATTCTAATAATATGAATTTATTAGAATTATTCAGTGGAACTGGAAGTGTGGGAACCATAGCAAAGTCGCTTGGATTTAATGTAATATCATTAGACTTGAAAAATGCTGATATTAATTGTGATATTTTGGAATGGGATTATAAACAATTTGACAGAAACCATTTTGATTTTATTTGGAGCAGTCCTCCGTGCACCGAACACAGTAGAGCAAAAACAACAGGAATAAGACACATTGAATATGCAAATAGTATTGTCTTAAAAACTATTGAGATTATCAAACATTTCAATCCAAAATATTATGTAATTGAAAATCCACAAACTGGATTATTAAAAAATCAGGAGTTTATGAATGAACTTGACTATTTTGATGTTGATTATTGTAAATATGGTTTTAATTATCGGAAAAGAACGAGGCTGTGGAATAACATTGATAAATGGAACCCCAGACCATTATGTACTAAAGACTGCGGTAAAGTTGTTAATAACAAACATATTGAAACTGCACAACGGATGCCATCCGGTCGTAAGGAAAATTGGGGCGAGAATTATGTAAAGCATAAGCAAGAAGATTTATATAAAATACCTGCTGATTTGATTTGTGAAATTTTGGTGAGTTTGGTGGATTAAGGAAACGAGTTTGGGGTTGGTGTTGAAACTTGAAATTTGCAGGTTCGTCCAACGACAAAAGAGTAAAAAATATGAAAATTAAAATTTTGAAAATAATGGTTTTTAAGGTGGAAATCCATAGTTTATAAAATAGATATAACACCAAAATTATATAGATATATCCGGAAACTCTTGCCAACCGCCAAACAGGGCAGGAAAAATTGGCGAGAGTTTCCCCTTATATATTACTATAAAAATATAAGAAAAAAACAACCTCCCAGACCCGCCACCCCTTGTAGCGCTCGGTTCTCGTAGGCGGTGGTCGGGATGTGTGCCTGCAACGGGTGGCGGATGCGGGAACTAAAAAAAATGGTGATGTGTAGGGGTAGGGAAGGATGTTTTTTTTACATTCAAAAACGATGCATCTAACTCAATCTGACACTGCGCATGCACATGTTTTTCCGCTTCAAAGCAAAGTCAGTGCAATTTCACATGCCTATGCACAATGCCCCGTGCCCCTCCCCCAAATTTGGCGTAGTAGTGTTCTACTATAGGGTGTAGTGGTGTTCTACTATAGGGTGTAGTAGTGTTCTACTATAGGGTGTAGTAGTGTTCTACTATAGGGTGTAGTAGTGTTTTACTATAGGGCATCAGGCAAAGTGCCCACTTCGGGAGGCATTCACGTTGCCCTTTCACATCACGTCGCAATTGGACGGGTCTGGGCGCACTTCGGCACTGGCATCACTTGTAGAAGACAACGCCTGTCTCAACCCCTTTCGGTAGTTCATGGTGTCCTTGATGTCCGCCAAAAATGCTTCACATGAGTAGCGGAAAGACGCTCCGTGTTCAACCGCGTAGCACTTGGCAAAGAGGGCGATATACTCCCTAATCAACTTCATTTTGAGATGGTGCAACGCCGGAATGCCCTTCTCAATGACCGCCACATCTTGGTAAAACATAGAAGCAGAGAGATACAACTTCTGCTCGGTTTGCATCCCACCGCCCTTGTTGAACAAGTCATGCAAACTCTGCAACTCATTGTCGCCCATGGATTGCAAAACCTGCTTCGGGGTAATCTCACCTGTCATCACCTTGTGCTTGAAGACATCCAAACGGGCAGTGATAGGGGTTGTCAATGGTTGAAACTCTTGTGGAACTGCACCCTCTGGTTGCCCTGGACTGAAACTTTCAAACCTGTTGCATATCACACCCATGCTGTGCTCCACCATGTCGCAGATGGCGTCCTCCTTCTTCAAGAAGTGTTTTTTGGTCTTTCTATCCACCACCCCGAAGCAAAGGCACAAAGTGAATGGAAGCACCCTCGCTGGTAAAGTAGTTCTCCAAGCGGTCATGGTCTTGAAGAACCGAAATGCCATCAGCAGACCACTTCAAGTGGTAGGTGCCCTCCTCAACATAGTTGTTGAACCAATCGTAGATGTCCTTGCCAGTGTTCTCAAACCCGTAGATGAACTTGACCTTGACATTGTTGTCAGCACACGGGACGGAAACGAACAGCTGTATCCCTTGCTTTCAGCAAGATTGACCACAGTGCCATCCAAAGAGGCAAGAACATCCTGTGTTGTTTCGTGCTCTTCATTCGGTTCATCTTGCTCGTTGATGCCGTCATCGCTTTCATCGTTGCTACTGTCGGCATCACCCTCCTCTATCTCATCTGGCTCATCGGACGCCTCCACACTGCCATCATCAGATGCTGGGGCAACTGACATGCGTGTGTTCCCAATGTAGTAGTGAGTGGCACCTGCACGAATTGCGACATTGCGCACCCAGTCATCCCAATTGGTCATCATCCAATCGACGAGGTTGGCTTTCCGAACAGCGCCATACACGAAGCGCCCACCCACCCTCATCAACGCTTTCAACTCGTTGATGGTGAGACCACCAAGGTCAGCATGTGTTGGCACAATGCTCTGCATCAAAGGTCGGTTGGGGATGTCAATGACATCTTGAATGTGTGTCCGAGCGACGAACACTGCACCCTCATGCTTGAAGACACGAAGCACCAATGCCATTGCGCGCACAAGGACTGACCGCAAAATCAAATGGACTGACTTTGAGCACAAAGTCTCTTGCAATCGTTGTTGTGGTTGTGTGCATCTTCAAATGACATGCTTTGGCAATGCAACACCCCACCCCTCACTATCTCTCACGCCCCCCATCCTTGCCTCTGATTTCTTCTCCAAGATGTCCGCGTAGCACGGGGCGAGGCGAGGCGGTCGTTTGTTTCGTTTTGTTTAGAGGGGTTTGTAAAAGTCTATTGTATCGTTTGTTGTTTGGTTTTTTGTGTGGTTTGTTGTTTGGTGGTTTTTTTTCTATGAGGGTCTTACCCAGACCTCGTTATGGTTTTGGTCTAAAACTATTTAAAGGGATGATGCCTTACTATGTAAGGATTATGGATGAAAATATTGCTCAGGTTGTCAATCAAATAGGCGTGTGGAATTGTTCACGGAACCCTACAAAAATTGCGACAAGTGCCGTGAGAAGGGAAGGAACAAATGGCATCGCCAAACAGTAGAACGAAGGGATGAAGTAAATGAAAGGAGGAGAGAAAACAGGAAAAGCGAAGAAGTAAAAGCAAGGGAGAAAGCATACAAACAAAAAAACTTATCATTGTGATGTTTGTAATTGTGAAGTCAGAACATGCAACAAAGCAAGACATGAAAAAAACTGACAAGCGTATTGAGAATTTAAAAAAGAATGAGGTTAAGGCAAATTGAGTTGGTTTAAGTTATGCTTTTATGAATAACTTAAAACAATTGGTGGGTGGATTTATTTTTACGGGATTTATGCCATGTTCTAATGTTAGATTTTGCGGGGCGCTTTTGAAATGGCGCCGAAAACCATAGGCTGGGGTACACAATGACGAGGTTGCGGTAAGCTCTTGCTTGCTGATACATACGTTGATATCCTTTTAACACTTCTCCATAACCTCCTGTATAGATTTTTGGTGTAGTATTTGAAAAAGAAATAAACAGTTTATTTAATTTAGATACATTGCGGACAATAGTTGTGAATATTTCGGTTGATGTTGATGCTGTTTGTTCTTGTAGGGTTTCAGTTTCAAAAGTAATAGGGAGAGAACCAGTTTCTAAAATTTTTGCATACTCGGCATATAAACTATCACCAATAGTATAAACATTTCCTTTGAATAAAGGTTTTGTAACTGACCAAGTGATACTCGTATTTGTAGCAGTAAAAAGTCCTGATCTATTAACAATTGGTTTTAATACATCAGTGGTTAAATATAATTCAACCGTGATGGGACAATAAGATAAAGGTATCCAGTTTTCACAAGTCTTGAAACATTTTAAGTTTAAATCAAAATAGACCTTGGCACTTTTACCTGCTTTAATTCCTCTATAATTACCATTGGTTACATTTCTAGTTACTGCTTGGGTAGTAGAAGTTCCAGTAGCATCACAAACTAAAAACCGCCCATCGTGATTGAGTAGAGTATTTCCAAAACCCAATGCTTCATCAATTCTTTTTTCTTCTGATGATTTTAATACATCTTTCATTGCACTCGCACGAGAAAGAGAATTTAAATCACATACAATGACATCACCCATTAACACACGCACCCTATCAAAGAAACCGGCTGTATCAATTGGTCGAAGTTCGTGATTTGCTGTTGTATCAGTGTTGTTTAGAGTAAATCCTAATAATAGTGATGGTAAGGACAACCATTGATTAGGTGGTCCAGTAATGTTAAATCTAATTACCGAATTTGTATCAGCGGTATAAGTAGAAACCGATGAAGGATAAAAGTTTTTACTTTCTTTTGAACGGACATAAGAACCGCCATCTTTTAATTTAAAGCGAAGGTTCTTCTCTACAAGGACATCTTCAATATCTAATGTTTCCATAACTTATTTATTTAATAATAGAAACATATTATATTATTCTATTATTAAATTAATTTATTTTAAAGTGCGAATAATCTATAACTTCTTTTTTAGATTTTTTATTTAATAGTTTTTTAGATTTGTTTTTAATATTATTATTTTCAACCTTATAATTAGGTTCGTCTTCTACAATCTTTTTAATGTCATCATAACTGACTTTCTTTTTAGGATTTATAGTATTTTTTATATCATTATTAGGCATTGTATATAAGACTACAAAATTTCCTTTACAGGTTCAATGCTTCTTGATACATCTTTACCAGCATCGCCATAACCAGTCTTATAATCGTGATTTATCAATGGGTTTAAACTTCCAGTTGCTACTGTAATTGCTCCACGGTCTGCCACTGATATTGGGTCTAATATACTTCTGAAATTAGTATAACTATCATCATTTTTGTTTGACATTGAAATAAAAGGAGCACCGTAAGTAGTTAATCTAATACTTCTATCAAGGTTATTTTGTAAATATTTAGCACTCGCACTACTACCCAACGAATGTGAAATAACTTCAGTTACATTATGGTTTTCATCAAGTATATCACTAATATCTCTATACCTTTCACTGAATGAACTTAAACCAAATGGAATTGTAATATCACTTAAAATATCATTAATATTTGATTTAATATTAGACTTACCAAATGTCCCAGCAACATATAGTTTATCATTATCTAAATAATAACCTTTACCATTTGTATATGCTTTGTTTAATCCTTCTGTGTCAGATAAATTATTACTAGATTTAGGTTTGAATAATGACTTTTCTTGTTGAATTTCATGAATTATTTTTCTATACATTTCGCTATGACCTTGATGAAGCGGATTGCATGATTTTAATTTTCCTTCTTTTAAATAATATTTATGTTTTTTCCATTATATTAATTATTGATATTTTTTAAATTAATTAATAGGTACATATGGCAAGATTTAGAAAATATACATTGATACACGACATAGAAATCTAAACGAAAGTGTGAGCACTTCTGACTTTGTTGTAGATTTACCAGAAACACAAGAAACAGGACCAAATACAAAACTGTACGTCCACGAATCATCACTACCTAATACTATTTATCCTATTGAAGAAAATGTAAATAATAGATTATGTTTAACATTAGGAGGAATCTTAACAGAAACGCCAATATATTATTTTATTGTAGCACCAGATAAAGGTAGTTATGTAGGTAGTGAATTAGCAACCGAATTACAAAATAAATTGAATACTGCTACTAATGGAACTGATGGAAATAGTGACTGTTTTAGTTGTAGTTATTCATTAAAAACAAATACTATAACTACAACTGTTAATTATGTTTCTTACTTTTTCGTAATTCATACAGATAAAGATTTGCAAACTAACTACGGTTTTAGTATTGATTATGACAGAAGCCACACAATGTCTATTAACAATGTTTTGTCTAACACTGTTGAAAAAATCAATTTTGCCCCTGACCCTTTCGTTAGTGGTTTTGTTAATTTATTACCAATCAAAAAAATTTACTTAACCAGTGATAGTTTAACTAATTGAAATCAATTAGCACCTTATGGAGTTGCTCGTGTCCTTCGTAAAATCCCTATTACAGCAAGTTTCGGGAACGTTATTCATGATAATGAAGTTTTAATGAATGACGCTAATGATGTTAGTATGCGTCATTTGCGTCGTCTTCATTTCAAATATGTTGATAGTTTTGGTAAAACTGTAGATTTACACGGGGCAGACTCGTCCTTCTCCCTTACCTTTGTTGAGAGTTGAAAAGCATATATTAGATATTTTAATATAAATATTTGTTACATACGAATTATATTGAAATATTTTAATATAAATATTTATTATATACTAATTATATGGTTAAAAATATTGAAATAGTAGATGTAGGCAGTGAACATAATGAAGCACCTAAAGAAGTAGAAGAAAGTAAAGAAGAACCTATTATTAATGAAGAAAGTAAAGAAGTAGAAACTAATAATATTATAAATGAAGAAAAGAATAAAGTAGAAGAAGAAGAAGAACACGAACCAAAGCAAGAATTAGAATCTAAAACACACTCAACTGAAAAAGTGGAGTGTCCAAAGTGTAAAAAATATTTAACAAAACACACTTTCAAATATCGTCATAACTGTAACGGAATACCTGTTAAAAAAGAACCAGACCCAAACAAACCTGTAAGACGCAAAATTATGAACGAGGGGCAAGCAAAAGAGTTTGAAAATAATGTATATAGTAAAGTTAAAGATAATATTAAAGTGGATGAACAAGAAATAGAAAAGCGTGTTCAACAAAAAGTTGAAGAAAGGTTAAAACAACATATAGAAAGCGCAGCAAATAAAGTATTTGAAAACGCAAAAGATAGATATATTAACATGAAACAGCAGAAGATGGAAAAGAAACAAGAACATATTAATAAATTAGTATCAAAAATTATTTGATAAATAAAATTATAATCTAATTATTATTATATGAACAAGTCAGATTTTGAAAATATAACATCAACACTTGCAAAGAATGGTAAAGCAGGTAAATTACCAACATCAAACAAGTTTTATAATCCCATACCAAAACCAAGTAAAAATTTTAATCTAATGTCCATCACTATTACGACGGAGACAACAAAGCACACGAACCAAACTATACATATCTGAAAGAAATGAAGGAACAGTTAGAATTTCATAACGCTAAAAAAGATTACGCTATATTTCAAAATAGAAGAAGATATCAAGATGAAGCACAGGCGTATTTTAATGAAATCCAAAGGTTGGAAGGTGAAAAATTGCGACATCATCCATCAAGTGAAACAGGTAAATCCTATTCAGAAATGATTAAGAAGAAGAAAGGAATAATCAATCAATTAAGAAAGGATTTTAATTTTGATTAAATTAATTGAATTAATTAGATTAATAAATTATAATCTAATTAATTTTATATACCAATGAGATTAGACGATACACAGATGAAAACATTAAAATCTCAATTAAGATTAAGACCGTCTTATAATGAACTGATAAAGGAAATTACAAAGGAAGAATATAAAAATAAGAATATAAGAGATGTAATAGACAGAAACGCTTATTATTTTCGTGATAGTCCATTAGGGACAGTGTATGAT